TGCTGAAGACTGGATGGCATGGTGCTTCTCAAGAGGACTGGCTGAAGGCATGGGTGGGTAATACGGGGTGAGGCGGATGGGAAGCAAGGGGGGGGAAGGGAGGGAGCGGGGGAAGGGGATGGGGAAGAGGAGGAGGAGGCGGAGGAGATGGTTGGGGAATCAGAGTGAGAGGAAAGCAGGGACTAGGGAAGAGGGAAGGGTGGGTAAGCTAACCAAAAGAAATTTGCTTCACCTTACTGGGCACCCGTCTCTACCACACCCACCCGACCAGAAGAGGTGAGAGGCGTTGAAGACCCGCCCCTGCCCCAAAGCACGGTTTCCTGTCTCCAACCCACCTCGTCTCACCACACCGGACCGCATCTCACCACACTACAACGCATCTTACCTCACCGCTGCTCACCGCACTCAACCACATTTCATTGCACTGAACTGCGTCTCACCTCACTGAGAGCCCTCTTCCTACCGCACCCGCCTGGCCAGAAAAGGTGAAATACGTTGAAGACCCGCCCCTGCCCCAAAGCACGGTTTCCTGTCTCCAACCCACCTCGTCTCACCACTCTGGACCGCATCTCACCACACTACAACGCATCTTACCTCACTTAACCGCTTCTCACCGCACTCAACCACATTTCACTGCACTGAACCGCATCTCACCTCACTGAGAGCCCTCTTCCTACTGCACCCGCCTGGCCAAAAGAGGTGAGAGGCGTTGAAGACCCCCCTTGCCCGTTGTGTGTATTGGCATAGGGAGTGTTGGTTATAACATGAGCATTTTATATTGTTTCTGCTTTGTCGCTTGTGTGTTGTGTTTCGTGCACGTGGCCGTGCGTGTGTCCATTGGGTTTTGTTATTACGCTCGTGGATTATGGTATGTTATCCTTATTTCTGTTGCTTCGTGGTTGTTCATTGTTTCCTGATGCCATACATTCGTGGTTCTTCTTTTTGCTTTCTCAACCCTGTGCCATCCCTGCCATCCATTCGAGGGTTTTTACATTCGTGGTTCTTCTTTTTGCTTTCTCAACCCTGTGCCATCCCTGCATCCATCCTCGTGGATTGGGCCGTGCATGTATGGCTGTGTCTATGCAGGCATAAATGTCTTGCATGAATGCGTGAATGCATGCGGTTATGCATGTTCATGTGTGATTGGATGTTCATGTGTGACTGGATGCGCATGTGTGACTGGATGCGCATGTGTGACTGGATGCGCATGTGTGACTGGATGTGCATGTGTGACTGGATGTGCATGTGTGATTGCATGTGCATGTGTGATCCGATGTGGATGTGTGATTGACTATGCATATGTGATTGAATGTGTATGTATGATTGCAAGTGCATGTATGATTGCGTGCTCATGCCAGCTCAGTCCTTCACACAACCAGCATCAACACCAATGACGGTCCATCCCCTCGCCATCAACCTAGCCGCCCCTCCCTCCAAGTTTAACACACTCCTACCCCCTTCTCCTCCTCTTCTCCCCCCCGAGCCTCATTCTTGCACCACCTCCTGCATCACCTCCCTCTCGTCCTCCCGCTCGCCACTCTTCTCCCAAGCCTGATGGTTGAAGGGGCTCGATTCCTCGTGCAAGATCGCAAGGCGAGACGAGCATGCCTTTCCTTTCCCGTTTTCTTCTCTCCCCTCGTCCTCTCTCATCCTCTCTCCTCATCATCTTTTCCCCACGCCATATTTTTTCACCACCTAGTGCATCACCTCCCGCTCTTCCTCCCCCTTGCTCCTCTCCTCTCTCATCTCATTGCGAATGGGGCTCGATTCCTGGTGCAAGATCGCAAGGTAAGATTCAGTCAAGGCGCCTCACAACTGGTGCAAGATTGCAAGGTGAGCCCAGCACAACCCCCCTCCCATCTCCCCCCTTCTGCCCCTACTCCTCTCCCCACCTCTTGCTTTTCCTCCCCCTCGCCTCTCTCCTCCCTCAACGCATGGTTGATGGGGCTCAATTCCTCGTGCAAGATCGCAAGGTGAGATACAATGTCCCAGATTTGGCGCAGGATTGCAAGGTGAGCCCAGCATGCCTCACCTATCCTCTCTTCCCCTGCTCTCTCCTTCTCTCTGCTCCACTCACTCCCTCACTCATCCTCTCTCCCTGTCTTTCCTCCTCTCCTCCTCTCTCCTCTCTCCTCCTCCTCCCCTCACGCCCCTCTCTTCCACCACCTCGTGCATCACATCCCACCCTCTCTTCCTCCACCTCGCTTCCCTTCTCCCTCAACTATTTTTTGTTGCGAAATTGCGCCCCAGATCTCAAATGGTTCTTACCCTTGCAGTGGCTACCTGCACGTCATGGCGCCTCACTACCGCAACTCATTCTGTAACGCCTAATGGAGCCTCACTAACTCACCCCGTCATGCCTGATGGCACCACACTACCGGTAACTGATTCCCTAACGCCAAATGGCACCTCATTAATCTATTCGTAACACATAATGGCACCTCATGCCAATACCCTGGGATGGGGGGGCCCCTCTTTAATATGAACGTTACCGGTAATTATCCAGAGTATTTCTCGCTTGTCGATTGTTGTCCTTACATAGCTATACAATGTTTCAGGTTTTTTCTCTTCTCTGTTTCCAATACGCAGGTAATCTAAAAAATATCACAAGGCATCTTTCAGCCAACACGATTGCAGAGTTCTTGCCAAGCTACCTCCATAGATCATGAACTGCACGTGTCACATCCTTTGACCATTGCCACATCTTTTTTATTAGGTCAAAAGCAGGCCCTCAGATTCACTTTTAGGGACGTTGATGCATCAGGGTCCCTGTGAAAAAATGCCTGATTTTTCAGGGTTCCAAAAAAAAAAAAAAAAAACCTGAATTTTCAGGGTTCCTAAAAACAAAAGCCTGATTAGTCAAATTTAACATGCCTTAAGGAAGTATGCTAACCGATGAATTTGAACCGCAGACCTTATCATTCTGTGTCAATTTCGCTAACCACTGTCATTTCACCCTGTCAGCTATCAGTATGTTGTTTATATATATATTAAAAGTAGAAATGTTGGTCTCTCGGGTGTTTTACGGGAAGGATTCGGAATGTGCATTCAGTGTACACTTCGATAAAAGTCTGAAACATCAGTGTTAGCTATGACGTAAAGCCTGAAAAAATCAGTGTCCCAAAAATCTCAACACTGAAAAATCAGGGGAGGTACACAAAACTAGGCTGAAAATCAGGAATTACAGGGGGAAATTCCTGATATCGTAGGGCCTGGTCAAAAGCCAGTTCCCTGTCCTTATTGTTATCCCCAAGCAGCATACCCTGCAGACATTGTACACGTCATAGGAAAATGAAGAGATAACATCCTTAATGGCATGCAGTCTCAAGAAAATACGCACTCACCTTCAGGAGAAGTGTACCAGCTTCTGGTTCCATTTTCAGTATGCATTCAGAAGAAGCTTCTTTTAGCAATTTGGCACTGTGCATATCCGCGACCTTCAAGCATTCCAAAGCGCTGTCGTCTTTGATTTTTCCACACAGATCCTGATCTAGTCGTTGCTTGAGTTCTTGGATTCCATATTTGTCAGCAGCAACTAGGAGCTCCAATCCCTGGTATTTTAACCATTAGTATGATCTTCGAGTGTGACATGCCAACTGAAAGGTTCCTCGTTGGCGATGTTACCTTGGTCGTTTCATCTGTTAGGTCCACAACTCCTCTGTACATGAACGTGAGAAGAAGGTCCAAAGTAGGATAATCCATATCTTGTAATTGAACAACTTTAGTCTTCTCCTCTTTAAATCCGCTGCTAAACATCCTTGAGAAGACAGGAGACCTGCAAAGATAAAGCATGACATAGTTGGAAACAGACCCCTAACAATGCTCTTTATCCTGAGAAAGAACTCAGCTGACTGGAAAACGACAGGTACATTGCATGGCAAAAAGTTAGTTAACAAAATTATGCTTACGGAATCGTGCGTTGTGAAAGGCAAAATGAAACAAGGAGGAGAGGCAACTAACCATGCAGCGAGAATGCAGCGGTGAGCACGAATGACCTTTCCATCATTTGTCTCCAACGACATGTCACAAAAGGATGCATCCAGCATGCCTTTCACCTTTTCTGCAAACATCTTGAAATCCTCTGCTTTACTCTTCGTTTTCTCAAAATCCTCGACGTCCTTCTTCAACTTATCAATCGTTGAGGAAACATTCACACATTTCGGGCAAACTGACTGCGTGCATATGAAATCACTGCCACTGCAGATGAAGCAACAGGACATTATTCTTAATGCTCAAGGCTTCTGCGAGGGGACATGGTTGTAGTGAGTCCAGGCTGAGCAAAGGAAAGCATCCTCTCACAAACGTTCCAGGAAGCATTTTGGTTCACGACGGTGGTTCCACACATGATGCTATGATGGGACTGACACGTTCTCGGCATGAAAGGAGTATTATACTGAAAATCGTACCTGCCTCGAATGGGCTCTCCTGATTTCCAAAACGCACGAAAACCTTTGCCTGACTCCAAAAAGGATTGCTGAAAGATGAAGAGGAGTGCTCCGCTCTTTATATACCAACGAGGTGGAAGCGTGAGATTCACACGATATGCATGCCCCAAGAAGTAACCCAAAACCCAGGTTGGAAGACTACTGGCGATACACGGTTTGGTAGTTCTTAGTAGGATAATGCGTGGTCAAGTGTGGTAAACGTTCCAACCTGCTTGGTAGTACATTTCTCCAGATCATCGAGGGAAAATCGAAGACAGAATTCTGACACTTCAAGGGCGTGTTTACGATGCGGGATCATCATGCGGAAGTTGTGAAATGTTTTATTTTTTTGAAAGATTTCGACGGAAGTGCAGCCTCATGTCGTTTGGAATCACCGTCCTTCTGCAAGGAAAACTTGCCAATGCACGCACGCCCGTGGAACTCGTGTGGTCTCCAAGGCTCCTCGTTTCACAGATTGATTTCCTCGTTGAACCTCGTTCTTCTCAGTAAGCCATGGGCTGGCACACATATAGCCATCGATCAACTACCGCTCCACGCCGTCTAGTGCGTTCCCGAATGCCTACGCGTCGTAAATCCCATGCCATCCTGCTTCTTCGCTCCGCTTTCCTCCTACAACTCACTTTCTCCCTCGTCGCTTTCGCCGCGTCGCCTGCGACGTTTCCTCCCCAGCCTTCGCGACATCGTGCGACAGTTTCAGTCGCACGACCAGATGGACGGGATGGGGAGACCGAGGAAGGCGGGGAGAGCGGGGAAGGCGGGGAGGGTTGGGACGGGGAGACTGACTGGGACGAGGACCCATGGCGGAACCAGCGAGTTTCGCCGTCGCCCATGCTGCACGATCATGCGACATCCGTGCGACGAGCTTTGGCGGCAGGCGACCCTGGCGACTCGCAGAGCAGCGCAGACGGCATGTCCGCCGCGCTAGGCGCCGCAGGACGCGGCGGGTTGGGCCGCCATAGATCGCGGGAGGTCCGGCGCCTTGAGCAGCCAATCACACGCAGCCAGCTGGCGCTTCTCAGCCTGAATTTCTTCCCAGAAGTTTCCGGAGTAGATGTGATTACAGACGACGAAGGGGGAGACGAGGGAGGGAAGAAGCGGAGGGAGCAGGTGGCGTTGCCGAATTTGGGGTGTGAAGGCGCAATTTGCCCTGAATTTTCGGAATGCGGGCAGGGGATACAGGCGTGCTGGAACCTGGAATCCGTGGACGGGCTGATGAATAAAAACGGCGGAAGAATTAAGGTTCCAGGCAGAAACGATTCAGCAGCGAATCACGACAGTCCTACTCCAATAAAACCCCGTCTCAATGCGACAGGTGCCAATGCCAGTGTGAGTGCTGGTGACACATCAGCAGCTTCCGCTATCAGTAGCCCATCAGACCCCCAAGCTGCTGCCTTATCATTAGCAAGTAATGCCAGCTCATCAGCAGCAGCAATTCTTGCCCCATCAACAGCAAGCGCCACTAGCAGCAGTCCATCGATCTCCAAAGATGAATTCTTAGCTCATGCTGCCTCATCCGCAACAGCTGTTGCTACACCTTCAGCGTCTGAAACGCCAATGAGGAGGCGGTTGGTGGAGGAGCAGGGCAGAGGAGAAGGGTTTCTGAGGCACCTCCAAGATTCATCAACAGCAGCTGTTGCTACACCATCAGTGCCTGAAACGTCAACGAGGAGGCGTTTAGCGGGGGAGAAGAGCACAGGGGAAGGGCTGCAGGGATCAGGAGGATTGAGTGGTGCAGTGCGGTTGAAATGCCCTCCCATCAGCTCACAGCAAATCACGCCAGGCATGGTGCTACTGCCCAACTGCTCCCTTGCCATAGCCTCTCCAGAGGACGGGCTAAAGGCATGGGAAGGGAGAAACGGCGAGGGGAAGCAAGGGCCAGGGGAGGAGGGAGAGGAGGAAGGGGACAGAGCAGAGGAGGAGGAAGTGGAGGAGGTAGGGGGTGAGGGAGAAGGGAAGGGGGTGCGGTATGGGGGGGGGAGGGGGTGGGCGGGGCGGGTGGTGGAGTTGAGGGGCGTGTGGGTGGACGGGCAGGGGCGGGTCTTCAACGCCTCTCACCTCTTCTGGCCTGGCGGGTGCGGCAGGAGGAGGGCGCTCAGTGAGGTGAGAAACGATTGAGTGCTGTTGAGTACAGTGAAGTGCGGTTTAGTGCGGTGAGACGAGGTAACTGGGAGATGGTGTGGCGGGCATGGGACAAGGGCGGGTCTTGAACTCCTCTCACCTCATCTGGCCAAGGGGATGCGACAGGTGCAAGGATCTCAGTGAGGTGAGAAGTGGTTTAGTGTGGTGAGATGCGGTTGAGTGTGGAATGGTCACCTAAGGGCTTCTGCTTACAAGAATGGGCGTTCATCTTCCATTTTGTTCCGTTTGGCATGTTTCAAAGTAATCTCTTCTGATTGCTTCTGTGCACGTTCATCCCAGTGGGTTTGCCTTTGCACACAGTGGGTTTCATTATTTTTGCTTTATTGAGCTTGCTTCGTTATGATTATTGTCTCTGATGGCATACATTCACATCTCTTCAGTGTCGACTCAAAAAGAGGTCACTTCTGAGAGTTGCTTTTAAGAAGTTCCAAATGTGACTCAAAAGACTGACTGATGGCACACATTCACTTTTCTCCTCCACCTTCCATCGTTTCCTTCACTTTTACATTGTGTGGATTTGCCCTTGCATTTGAATGATTGCATCCGAATGTTTGTATGCATGTGTGAATGCATGCGGCTGTGCATGTGATTGCATGTGCGATTGCATGCCATGCCAGCTCAGCCCTTCACATACCCGGCATCAACACCAGTCACCGTTCATCCCCTCGCCATCAAACTAGCCGCCCCTCCCTCAAAATCCAACACACTCACTTCCTCCTCCTCTTCTCCCCCACGGGCCTCATTCATCCACCACCTAGTGCATCACCTCCCTCTCTTCCTCCCCCTCTCCTCTCTCCTCCCTCAACTCATGGCTGAAGGGGCTCGATTCCTCGTGCAGGATCGCAAGGTGAGACAAGCATGCCTCGCAAGGTGAGACAAGCATGCCTCGCAAGGTGAGACAAGCATGCCTCGCAAGGTGAGACAAGCATGCCTCGCAAGGTGAGACAAGCATGCCTCGCAAGGTGAGACAAGCATGCCTCGCAAGGTGAGACAAGCATGCCTCGCAAGGTGAGACAAGCATGCCTCGCAAGGTGAGACAAGCATGCCTCGCAAGGTGAGACAAGCATGCCTCGCAAGGTGAGACAAGCATGCCTCGCAAGGTGAGACAAGCATGCCTCGCAAGGTGAGACAAGCATGCCTCGCAAGGTGAGACAAGCATGCCTCGCATATCTCCTGCTATTCCCTCCTCTCTCCTCTGCTCTCCTCGTCCCCCGGCCCCCCAACCCTTACTCCTCCCCTGCTCTTATCTTCTCTCCTACGTTCTCCTCCCTTCCCCCCCAACCCTTACTCTTCCACCGCCTTGTGCATCCCACCTGCAAATGTGTAATACTTGCAGTGTGTGCAGTCATGGCATCCCATTATGTGGTGCCATGACACAGCCCATCATTCAGTGGCTGCATGTCATGGCACCACACTATATCAGAGTCCCGTCTCATCAAGTCACCATGTCACGGTAATTCACTCTCTCTCCTTGCCTCATTTCACTTGAGTTGAGATCTCTCTGCCTTCTCCGCATGTCCTTCCTTACTCCATCCATCCCTTTCCTTGCAGTGGTTGCACGTCATGGCACCACATTACATCGGAGCCCCACCTCATCAAGTCTCACTCCCTCCTTGCCTCCCTGTACCGTGCCTTGCCCATCCCTCCCTTGTCCTTCCTTGCCTTCCCTTCCCGTGCTGCAGTGGTTACACGTCGTGGCACCACACTACCTGGGAGATGACTTTTGAGTCGACTCAAAAGTCACCTCTGCCCACCCCACCAGTGGCTGCACGTCATGGCACCACACTACCTGGGAGCCCTGCCTCATTCACTCCCACCTCTTGCCTCACAGCCCTAGTTCACTTCAGATCTCTCTGCCTTCTCTATCCCCATCCCTTCTGCCTTCTCTAATCCCATCCCTTCTGCCTTCTCTATCCCCATCCTTCCCCTCCCTTCTCAGTGGTTACACGTCATGGCACCACACTACCTGGGAGCCCCACCGCATCAAGTCACCCTCTTTTCTTTCCATATTTCACTTCATATCTCCCTGACTCCTCTACTCCCATCCCTCCCCACCCCACCAGTGGCTGCACGTCATGGCACCACACTACCTGGGAGCCCCACCGCATCAAGTCACTCTGCTGCCCCAACCAGACAAGCCAACCCACCTGCTATTCGTGCAAAGGCTCATTCAGGTGCTAACCAATTCAGGTGATTTCTGGTCCAGTTCTGTAATTCACGTGCTTTCTGGTGCGGGTGCCATTCATTCATTCAATCTCTGCTGATTTGGTTGGCACCGACATTCCTCACCACTTTCCCCAACACTTGTCTCTGAATTCTTGCTTTGCTCTTGCAGCAATGCCACCTGTCCCGCCCTGCTATCGCCCCTTTCCTCTCCTCCCCCCTCCTCTCTCCCCTCCTCACCAAACCCCCCACCAACCCCACCAGTCCTGCTTCTAGCACTGCACCCGGCTATATTGAAATCACTTATGAGAATTCTCAAAAGTGATTTCAGCACTGCACCCGTCCCTCCCCTGCGCCCCTCTCCTCTCCCCCTCTCCCCCACCCTTTCCCACCCTCCCCTTTCCCCCTCCCTTCTCCCCTAACCACACTCTACACACAGCCCTGTTTCCAACACAGCACCCGCCCCTCCCCCGCACTCCTCTCCTCCCTTCAAATCATCCTCTACCTACCCTTTCTCTCTCCCCAATTCTCCCCGTTCCCTCTCCCACCAGCCCTGCTTCCAGCACTGCAACCGCCCCTCCCCCTCGCTCCTCTCCTCTCTTCGAAACATACCCCCTCTCCCGTTTCCCTCTCTTCCGCCCCCCGATTCCCCTCCCACTCCCCCCTCCCATCCCAACCCCCCCCCAGCCTTGCTTCCAGCACTGCAACCGCCCCTCCCCTGCTCTCCTCTCCTCTCTTCGCTCACATCACCTCCTCCCTCCTGAAGGCCTTCCCCTCTTCCATGCCAACTGGACGCTCCGCCGCCGACCGTCTCCGCTGATGTGGCGGCTGACGTTTCAGCTGACATGGCGAATGGTCCGGGAGGGGCGACTGTTGACGCAGATGGGGACGGATTCGCGGGGGTGAGGGGGATGGTTGGGGAGGACTGGGTGGTGGTGGTGGCGGTGCCACCTGGCGCGATGCTATTGGATAAGATGGAGGAGATGGTCGATGGCATAATCCAAGATAACTGGTGGAACGGCTGGGTGGTTTACTTCCGAGGAACCATGGGCGTGCAGGAAGGTGAGACGGTGAGATGGGTTTGAAGGGAGGTGAGCGAGGAAGTGAGTAAGTAATGGGGGGGTGAGGGATGAGGGTGGGAGGGCTGGGATGGGGTATGGTTTTGAGGCGCCTCAAAACTAGGTTCGGTTTAGTGCGGATGAGGAGGTGATGAGACGGCAAGCAAGCAATGATTGTTTGGAGAGAGGGAATGTGAGTAAGGGGGAAATCAAACTAGTACTCGATTTTTTTTTTTTCTTTGGGGGGGAGGGGGGAGGGGGGGGGGGGCGGGCGGGGAGGGGGGGAGGTGTTCAAGAGCACATGCACCTGTCCAAAACCCTCCCTTTCCCCCCGCCCCTACCTCCCCCCTCCCCGCCCAACAGCCAGGGCTATCTTCTCTCGCGCTCTCCTCCTCATCGCGCCACCAGGGGAGGCTCTGGACTTCTTTCTCTTCATGCCGCCTGCTGCTGTCGTGCTCGAGATTCAACCCTCCTCCCATCCCTCCTCCTCCCACCGTGCTCTCTCTCACTCCCTCTCCCTTCGCCACCACACTCTCTTCTGCAAGCTACTCAACGTTTCCGGGCAGCCCAAAAAGCTTTCATGTGACCGGCTCGTGCTCGCACAAGTCATGCAAGCCCTCTCGACGGAAGTGTTTTTCAGCCCGGCGCTGCCCAGAGGCAGCCGGGCAGCACGAGCTGCCCTTGGGAAAGCATCCATACCCGGTTCCTTGATCCACGGGCAGGGGCAGGTTAAAAAATGGAAGGAATGGTCAGCATGTGTTGCCCGGAAAGGAAAGTGGGTCCTCAACTCAAAACCCCGAACCCTCCCGTGGGATTACCGGGGGGTGAGCAATTATTGCGATAACAGACACTTAAGTCTAAACTCAACCCACATGGCATACGCTAGTGCAGATGCATATGCCATGAAGCCAGGGGCGAGTGAGGCGGGGTGGACGGTGCGCGAGGGGGTGAAGCACGAGTGGGTGGTTGGGCCCTCCACATGCCCGGCGCCTCAAGTGCCCGAGGAGATTAAAGCCTTTGAACTAACGGCTAAGGCACGACTCAAAGATGCTCAGGAGAAGGAGCGAGTTTTGCGATCCCAGTTGGAGAAGAATGGAACGGGGGATGCAGCAGCAGCAGAGAAAACGGCAGCAGCAGCTGCAGCGGCTGCGGAAGCAGCAAAAACAGCAACGGCGGCGGCGGCTGCAGCAGCAGTAAATCTGTCAAACCCCTGGCTGCCGTTCAACGCGTCAGTCTTCTGCGAGAGGGTGGGGCGGGGCCGGCGAATCCTCTTCCTGGGAGACTCGAAGCAGTACCAGATGGTGCAGGTGTTTGTCAACCACATGGCGTGGGGGTGGAAGGGAAAGAGGAAGCCTGCGAAAGAGTTGGTGAATCTGGAGGAGCGGCCAAAGGCGTGTGTGGATGCGCTGGGAGGGAATGCAGCTAAAATGGGGCACGAGTTCTGCCAATGGTGAGTCACCTTATAGCGAGTCAAAGGTGAGTTTTATGCCAAGCCTCCTGGGGGATTCCAAGCCAAGCAGTACCGATGGTGCAGGCATTTGTGAACCGCATGGCGTGAGGGTTGGAAAATACTGACTGCTTTGCATCTTTGCTCAACCACTGTTTCATCAATTCCTTTCGCACCCTCCCTCACCCACACCCCTCCTGTTTCCAGGTTCACTTTCAACTCCTCGGTATGCCCGGGCTTTAAGGTTGACTTTGTTCGCAACGACCATTTATCGCTGTTCGATCCAAAGGGAGCTGTATTCGACCACATGCCATGGGGCCAGCCTGGTGTAGCAGATATCCCCTCTGCAGACGTCATCGTTTTAAACAGAGGCCCCCACTGGACCCCTACACCTCTTTTCATTTCCGGCGTACGAAACGCTCTGCGGTTTATTCGGCATAATTTTCCGGATAAGCTGATTATTTACAGGAACACCCCTCCTGGGCACAAGGATTGCGGAGATTACGAAAGGCCGTTGGAAAAGCGGCAAGAGTTGGGGAGTCTGCCGTTTAACTGGGGTGAATTCCCCAAGCAAAACCAAGTGGCTAAAGAGTTGGTGGAGCAGGTTGGAGGGGTGTATTTGGATGTGGAGGAGATGGTGGGGCTGAGAGCTGATGGGCACAACGCCTTCATGCCAAACAGGAATAAAACAGACTGCTTACATTACTGTTTCCCTGGCCCCTTAGATGTTTATGTACAGTTTCTGTACAATGCACTCATACGGCTACTGCCACCACCACTATCTTCCTGAGTCCCCACCCACACCCTACAGCATCCCATCCCATCCCATCCCACCCACCCATGCGACACCAGTGAAGCCATCACTTGATTCTAAGTTTGACTCTTTGATCATGAATTGTTTCGGTAATGAAAAGCATCACCATGTCACGAGATAGAGCCATTGTTTCAGAATCTAGTGCCGATTCTCTTGTGCTTGTACCGGTAGCTGCCCTGCCTTCCTCCATGCTCGAATATGGAGAAAGAGCACAATCTGCTCCTCCCATGTCCCTGCCCATTGCTGCCGGTGACATGGCGTGCTGCTGCCGGCAGTGATGGGGCGACGAGTGCTGTTGCCGGCAATGACGGGGTGAGGCGAAACGTAGGTGATTTTCAGTGGGATGGGAAGACACGGTACGGTTTGCGCAACGTTGTTTGGCAGTGCAACACACAATATGGCAATCTCTCTCTCATCATCCACAATGCAATGTGGGTGTGACTTTTGGCAGGAAGAAGCGCAACCCTGCAAGGACAATTTCAACAACAAGCATGAGAAGCGACACAATGGTGAGCTTAACCCTGGCACAAATGTATAATGAGGACGATGAATTAGCTAGTGCAGGTGTAAGTACCGTATGGTCAAAGAACAAGCACCTATAGCTACCAGCAGACCATTGCAAGTGAACAATAAGAATTTGGTAATAGGAAAATAAATCGATTACATAACAACGATACAATCTTTTAACTGTTTGTGCCAACCTGGTGACTTGTAACAGGAGGTATAGTCTTGACCGTCGTGTCCGACGCGACACAGTAAAGAAGCTGCAAACGGGCCGCACACTACTCAACACACACCGCAAATCGTTTTTGTGACCACATTGGGCGATGTTCGGCAGCACAGGGGATCCACCGAGGGATGGAGGGAGGGATCGAAATTCTCAGCTAGGGTTTCTAATTCGGGGTGGTCAACTCGGAGTCAACCAACGTTGACTCCAAGTCTGGGGTCCAGGCGCAAGCGGAACCTTTAGGGGAAAAGGCGCGGATGAGCGACGCGAGAATTGGGGGCCCACGAAACTGCAGCCGCACGAAACGAAACTTCGCGAGCTGAACAGTTTTTCTTCTCCCTGCCTCATTTTACTGTTGCGATGGGATTGGGTATATCACTTCCCGAAAACATCTAACACCATAAATTAAAATGAATGTCTTAAATGTCGTACTCACCCATTTCACCTTATTGAATACAACTGCTTTGCAATATATTTCCGATGTCCGGTTTACCCGTCAGTTTAGAGAGTGGGGTACAATCATAAAACAATTTCGTGATTGAGGGAATCCATTTTACATCCCCCGTAGGTGAGGACACTCACGGGAGTGCAATTTGGATTCCCTGGGCACTAGGGCGGTTTTTTTCCGCCATGGGGGAGGTTTTGGGGGAGGATGCGGCGCGGGTTACCGCCTAGCGTGGTGTTCGCGTCGCGTTTTAGGCTTACGTTCGACATTTTTTTTCACATTTTTCTAGCCTGACCGAAGTGTTTTGCCTGGTTCGTACTGGTCGAGCCTGGAGGCTCGCCATTTTGATCCTCCATCAAACCCCCTCCCCTGGCTGCCGAACATCGCCTTGGTTTGTGATGTGGGCGAACTGGCCTGCGCGCGGGCGAGCTTCTCTGCGCACTCGTTTTAGAGTTTCTCGCAGCGCAGGGCGTTTTGGTTTGCAGCTTGGTGTGCTGTACCACGGTTTTGTTTGTTTCTAATTGGTATTTCCTCCCAACCAATCGCACATCCCAGTCTCGTTCTCAGGGCGTTTCCTTGTGTTTTGTTTTGTACTTTTCGTCCCTGCCCTTTTTGTTTCCTTCTGTTGACACATCCAGGTCTTTGCTATTTCATAATTGCACTTGTTGATTGGGGCAGACATTTCAGATGGCCCCCACGTTCCATTTCCCCTAGCGGGAAAATGGTACACTTGATTTTTTTCAGTTCAGAATAGCACTCTCGATATTTCGGGTGGGTGCGAAATGGAGGAGAACGAGGCCGCTCTCCCAGGTCGGTTAGCAGGTAGGTGAGCCAGCGTAACTCCTGTGCAGCCATGGCCCCTGCGTAGATCTCGGCCTCACAGCTGGAGCCGAGAACAGAAGACGAGCGGGTAGACCGCCACGAAACAGAGCCGGAACCAAGACTGAAGGTGTAACCCTGTGACGACCGCTGGGTAGCCAAGTCGTCAGCCCAAGAATCGTCTGCGTGACCAGTGAGGACCACTGAACGTCGCCCTCCAAGCACGAGCCCCATGCCCGACGTACTGCACAAGTAGCGCAACACCCTCTTCGCAGCAGCCATGTGCTCTGGTCGGTGTCTCCCAGGAGCAACATAGCGTGCTAAGAGGCTAAGAGGGTATGCTAGGTCAGGACGAGTGCATGTCATCAGGTACATGAGGCAGCCAACAAGCTCTGGGTATGGGCCACTCGGCTCTACGGACTCATTCGAAGGCAGAGCTGAGAGCGAGTGGCGAGCAGACAGACGAGTGGCCTGAGGCGAGGAGTACGTGAAATCGAAGCGCTGAAGGAC